TTTCTCACATTAAGAACCAATCATTTTAGACAAAGTAATAAGTACAGACTTGGTTCAATATCTTCTGGTTAAAGAGAAAATGTGTGCCAGCGTCATAAAATCATGAATTATGACTTAGTTCAGTCTCCCAATGGCTAATATTAAATTATTTTTGTTCATTTATATTGTGAACTGAATTTAGTTTTAAAATTATTGTCAATAGAGGAAGTAATTCATGTGTTATTGTGATATGGTGCTATAAGGATATATCAAAATATATCAAGGAATTCGTTGCATACTCTCATTGAATGGAACAATAGATGACTGGTATTCAGCATTGTTCACAGTTACAAATAAACTGTATCTAATGTCAAGATTTAGAAATGAACAAATTGATTGATACTTGTCTTTTTTAATACACGGCCTTCTATTACCATTATATTACTAATATAAATATATAACATTAGCACTGAAAATGATAAATATTAGGATCTCTTTTCATTAATAGTCTCGGGATAAAAGTTATCGTAAATTTGAAAAATTTATCTACTTGTCAAAAATTGATTTTCTGTGAAAAGGTATCAAATGTTATTCTGTAAATGTCATTCGTGGTAACACCTTAAGCTTTAAGATGGAAACGTAAACAGTGATAGGCTATATAGAGAAATATCGAAATCCTTTGGCCTTGTTAGCAAACCGTATGTTTTACTGGTATTCATCTTTCAACAAACCACATCAAGAAAAACATCCGGGAAAGAAATTGATTGACGTTAAATGCAATACGTCACCGTTACGTTATAACGTTAAGAATGAAATAAATACAACATAAGAAGCTGGATAATTTAAATTTCTAAAACAATTTGACTATGTGTATCTTTCGTGTAATTCAACGCCTGGTGTATACAATGCTGACCTAGATATACCTATTTATTATTTGATACAAACTGTTCTTTATAACATTCCACCTTTCAGCACCAGGTATGTTTAAAGAAATTAACCTTATAGCTGGTTTGATAAGTGGTTGTAACTTACGTTGAATGGTGCTTGGTCTTATAATGGTAGGCTGTCCCACTATGTGTCAATATAATCGAATTAAAGTTTAGTACGCAGTCTGCATAAATTTCTGCACCTTGCTTCATTTTTGCCAAAAGACTCTCCGGTTTCATGTTACAGTCGAGGAATGGATGAAGGATCACGCGAGTATAATTTTAAAATGTCAGGGTGTTTTACTTTTCTAATCGATACCGGTATATTCTCCGTCATGAATTAAATTGCAGGGGAAACCTAAGAGAAAATAATGAAATAGTTAGGATAATGCAAGGATAGGGGATAATGCATAGATCAAGGGAAAGATAGAAGATAGAAAGAAAAAGGCTCAAAACCTTAAGTATTAGACTAACATTAGACTGCCATGCCAAAGGAATTACCATGATCATAAAGAGTTTTGTAAGAATGAAGAAGATCTAATAACTCGAGCGATACTACCTTGGGCCGATCTTCAACGCTTTTTCATTCGAGCTGACCCAACTGAAGATTTTCGGTTAACCAAATCCACAGTAACGAACCATCAAATTGTTCCCGATCCAACTACTAACAACTACGTAGTTTGCGATATCAGCTGGTGGAGGACTGGCTTGTCACCTTCCAACCAGCCAGCAGTAGGGCCCACTGGTAACTGTTGGATCATGGACTTGGACCTATTTTGTTTGATTATTAACCGGACAATACTTTGCAGTATAATACCTCTACACCACTACAAATAAATAAACTGATATATTTACACGAGAATAGTAGAGTATTGTAATGTGATATAAACATCAGACACGATTACTGTGTGTTGTGTTCTGGTAAGTGGGTAATGCTCCTTCTTGTTTAGCTATTACAGTATTTTTCAGTTATTTACATTATCACTGTAGTCGATTATCTACAGCTGTGATTTTGGTCCGATATTCACCTTTAACTATTTACGTATGATGGACAGAAAACATAAACACTTTACAGATGAGTTTTCCCAAATTAGGAAATTATCGAAATAATCAGCTTTCTTAAAGATCTGAACGCATGGGAGGGTCAATAAAATAGTATGATTTAGCAATCGCCTATATATCGAAATTTACCATGAACTCTGAAAAACAATCTCTCGCAAGTGTCTGGTCAACTTTATGATTTATTTGTGGAGCAGATCATGTCACTGTATTTATAAGTCATTGTAAATTTGTCCACTTACCAACCCAGTCTTTTGCCTTTTCCATACTTAGGAAAGTAGATGAGACCTGCTTCTTTATCATGGCAACGTTTCGCTCCGGTTCACACATCACGAGCACAGTCATTGCATGAGCTGAATGTGGATTCGAATTACAATAACCTTATCCTCTTTGTAGAGAGCCTCATGTAGTAGGCGTAATTTGAATCCATATTCAGCTCCTTCAACCACTGTCCATGGCCAACTCAGAAATATTTGATAACTAAATCATACTTTGGCTACTAACTTAATGGTTTACAATTTAATTCTGTTGCCACCCGTTGTGTCAAAGATAGGCAGTCTGAAAAGTGATTATCACAACCACAATATGTAGACTTCGCCTTTGGATCTTGAATATCCTTTTGGGATTAGCATGTCCAGTAATTGAATAACTTTGCATGTCAACAGCCGGGATTACAACGCAAGATCTTCAAAAACTCTTGCAAATTCGTTCGTGACAATCTTAATAACCATGTCATCGACCTTTGAATATAATAACCACTAAGCATGGAATTTCGCAATCTTCACCCCTGTATCTGGAAATTAATTTTACGTAAATTAAATATTTCTTCATTGTATTTAAGGTACAATGCTATATCTGTTAATTATAAGATTGAACCAGCTCACTCATCAACAATAAAATCAATTAGAATGGTACGTCATAAATATTATAAAACAATTAAACTAATAGTTTCTATGTATTTAAATGATTTTTTGATTATAACACCAGGTTATATCACCTCTGTTTTAATAAAACATGCATCAGGGATATTTACTGAATGCCATTGGGTACAAACTAACAAAACTTGAAATTCGTGATATAAACAGATCTTCTATAAAGTTGTAGATAGTTTTGTACCGAATTCTAAACTTTGTTAGTGACCTCATTGTATGATTGGCCATATCTATTGAAATACACGAAGGTGCAAGATCTCAGTTTAGCACAATCTTCGGATTGTCTTTTCGTACCTTGAATGTTACGGGAATTAGATAACGTGACATTTTCATTATCATTCGAGTCTAATAAAACAAAAATGTCACTCATTTCATAAATTTTAATTCTAACAGAATCTTAAAATTTGTTAAAAATCGAACACTGGAAATACACGGAATTATCTTTCCTTGGCGTAGTTTATTTTTCATTAGAAACACGGATGATAATGATAAGCAGAAAATGTCACGTGATCTAATATAATTTCCGTAATATTTTGCGTTCTACAAAGTCAACGGTATAAATTATATTCTAGAAACACTAACATTGAAAAAAGTAAATAAGAAATGAGATATTATACGTAAAATGACTTTATAAGATTAGTCATTTTTATATGATTTTAAGATGTTGAACCAGATACAGCACCATATAACGTGAGTATGTGAATTGAAAATCCATATAAGAATAATACTGCTTCCCACAGGAACATTAATATCCACGGAAATCATAACAAATTTGTACCTTTAGGGTTGAGGGCTGGCAACAATTCTAAATATATAAGCTGCTATTGTGACTACCTTGAGGGTTAGGTAGAGGCCAAGTAGCTATTCTAAATACATAAGCTATTATTGTGACTATCGTTAGGGCTAGGTTGAGGTCTGACAACAGTTCTAAATATATGAGCTGCTATTGTGACTATCTTTGAGGGTTAGGTTGAGGTCGTGTATCTGTTCTTAATACATAAGCTATTATTGTGACTGTTTTAAATGTAGGTTTAGGTGGAGCCTTCGCTCCCCCACATACACACCCTACACCCAGTCAAATTCAGAATAATAGAATGATGCACTCTTGACAAATATTTGAAATATTGAAATGGGTACTACTGAAAGTGCAAACATCTGTGGAGGCATGTTCTCCTCCTGTACCCACAATGGCATCGCCACTGATTCATCCGATCTTTATAATGATGTCCCCACACGTCACTCCTTTCTTTCTAGATGCCCCCAGCCCACTTGTATACTTTTTAAGATACCCCTAACCCTCCGCTCTAACAGACTTTTATTTCTCCTAACCCATCATTTATAGACCCCCCCCCCCCCTTTTCATTCTTTTAGTATATGTCCCCACCTCCATCATTTTTTAAAAGCTACAAACATTTTTAACGGGAAAAATCTTTTGTTTAATCTAATAAGGAGTGAATTGTGTTCAGTGTAGTACAATAGAGGTATGAAACCTCAAACTTAAAGCTTAGTCCACACGAGCAAGTTTTCATTGACAAGGAAAATTGTTCAATGGTTGAGCAAGGATTTGTCACTTCGTCTCGTGTGGACGCACCCAACAATTTTTCCTTGTTGGCGAGTGCTGCCATCTGGCGACCCTAGTGAAAATCACAACAAAAAGGCCGTTGTTATTTTTAGTTTATAGTGACGACTTCGGCATTTTCGTTTATAGTGTCACTTCTGTGGTTCCAGTCTTCAAATTACCGATCCAATATAGTTATCTAATACTTTGTGTTTAGTTTTTTCAAGTTCAAAGTAAAAGTGCAATGCCGAAAATTGTGAGGAGGAATAAAGTGAAATGTGCGACTGGAGTTGGATTATGCATGCTTATGCAGTACCCCTATGACAACACCATCAACAAGAAAGGAATAGAGAGGAGATGGTGGGTCAAACCATGGGCAAGTGAAGAAAAAAGACAAGCCCAGGGCCTCGGGGCAAACCTTATTCCGGAACTTAGGGAAACTGACCCAGATAGTTTCAAGAACTTTTCAGATTGGATACGAAATGTTTTGATGAACTTCTGTCATTAGTAAAACCATCTATAACAAAAGAAGATACAGTAATGCGCATGGCAATCAGAGCAGAGGACAAATTAGCTGCAACTCTGCGATTTTTAGCAGGTGGTGCCTCATATAAAGAACTGATGTACTCATTCAGGATATCAAAATCTACTATCAGTGAATTTGTACCAGAAGTTTGTGATGTAATTTACGATGTGTTGAAGGACAGATACTGCCAATTTCCTGACTCTACTGAAAAATGGCTTGCAGTCGCTGAAAATTTCAAGGAGCAGCGGCAGTTTCCGCATTGCCTTGGAGCCATTGATGGTAAGCATGTCAAAATTCGCTGTCCCTCAAACACAGGTTCGCAGTTCTTCAATTATAAGAAGGAGTTCAGCATTGTATTACTGGCCATAGCTGATGCCAATGCAACATTCACTTGCCACAAATCTGCGCACGCATCCACTTTTACTTCCGTTTTATTGTTTTCTTTGCACGTCGATCCTGCAAATCGGGTAAAAATGCTCATGTGGACCGACCAAGCCGTTTAAATATTAGATGGTTTGCAGAATCACGAGTGTTTATGGAATTTGAAAAGTGAAGACTACAAGAATAGAGGAATGAAAAGGATTGCCCTCGGTGACTTGTTGGAAAGTTTGAAATAAGAGATATTGGACTTTGAAGGGGATGTAGATGCCATAAAGGCGAAAATTCAAAGTCGTTTTCGTAATTTTGATTTTTACTGAGTAATATGATTTTTCCATTTTCATAATTTAGACTTTAATTAACTTTAATTAACATCTTTCCTAATATTTTTTAAAGACTACACTATTGTTTAAAGACTACCTTTTTTTTTACACCCAACAGTAGTAATATTAGTAATTTAAATGTTAAAGATAGGGCTCGGCTAGGTGCTAGAAGTAGAATTAAAGATATGGCTCAGCTAGGTGCTAGGAGTAGAATTAAAGATAGGGCTCAGCTAGTTGCTAGGAGTAGAATTAAAGATAGGGCTCAGCTAGTTAGGGCTCGGCTAGGTGCTAGAAGTAGAATTAAAGATAGAGCTCAGCTAGTTGCTAGGAGTAGAATTAAAGATAGGGCTCAGCTAGTTAGGGCTCGGCTAGGTGCTAGAAGTAGAATTAAAGATAGGGCTCAGCTAGTTGCTAGGAGTAGAATTAAAGATAGGGCTCAGCTAGTTAGGTCTCGGCTAGGTGGTAGAAGTAGAATTAAAGATAGAGCTCAGCTAGTTGCTAGAAGTAGAATTAAAGATAGGGTTCAGCTAGATGCTAGAAGTAGAATTAAAGATAGGGCTCAGCTAGTTGCTAGGAGTAGAATTAAAGATAGGGCTCAGCTAGTTAGGTCTCGGCTAGGTGCTAGAAGTAGAATTAAAGATAGGGCTCAGCTAGTTGCTAGGAGTAGAATTAAAGATAGGGCTCAGCTAGTTAGGTCTCGGCTAGGTGGTAGAAGTAGAATTAAAGATAGAGCTCAGCTAGTTGCTAGAAGTAGAATTAAAGATAAGGCTCAGCTAGTTGCTAGGAGTAGAATTAAAGATAGGGCTCAGCTAGTTAGGGCTCGGCTAGGTGCTAGAAGTAGAATTAAAGATAGGGCTCAGCTAGTTGCTAGGAGTAGAATTAAAGATAGGGCTCAGCTAGTTAGGGTTCGGCTAGGTGCTAGAAGTAGAATTAAAGATAGGGTTCAGCTAGAAGCTATATAGGAGTAAAATTAAAGATAGGGTTCGGCTGGGTGCTAAGAGTAGAATTAAAGATATGGCTCAGCTAGGTGCTAGGAGTAGAATTAAAGATAGGGCTCAGGTAGGCGCTAGAAGTAGAATTAAAGATAGGGCTCAGCTAGGTGCTAGGAGTAGAATTAAAGATAGAGTTCAGCTAGATGCTATATAGGAGTAAAATTAAAGATAGGGTTCAGCTGGGTGCTAAGAGTAGAATTAAAGATATGGCTCAGCTAGGTGCTAGGAGTAGAATTAAAGATAGGGCTCAGGTAGGCGCTAGAAGTAGAATTAAAGATAGGGCTCAGCTAGGTGCTAGGAGTAGAATTAAAGATAGGGCTCAGCTAGGTGCTAGGAGTAGAATTAAAGATGGCGCTCAGCTAGGTGCTGGGAGTAGGGAAATTTAAGGACAAGTACCTTCGCCCCTCTTCTGACCTGTTACCTTGTCTCTTGTAAAACCATGTATAACTATGCTCGCCCTTTTGTACTACACACAATCTCGAATCCCAAAGTTCTGAGATTTTGTGCTGGGTTAGGATTGTGTAGAGCTAACATGGGTTTTGATTATGATCGAGTTAGGGGTTGTAGGGACTAAAATTGCTTGTATTAGGGTGATGTTAGGCTCGTTTTGTCGGCCAACAAATCACAGAATATATTTTTCAGAATAGCTAGTTATTAGAGGCTATTTTAGAAATTTTTCAAAATTATTAGCTAAAAGTAGTCACAATAACAGCCTGTCCTCAACCTTGACCCTCAAGGTAGTCACGGTAGCAGCTTATGTATTTAAAACAGTTGTCAGACCTCAACCTAAACCTCAAGGTAGTCACGGTAGCAGCTTATGTATTTAAAACAGTTGTCAGACCTCAACCTAACCCTCAAGGTAGTCACGGTAGCAGCTTACCAGCGGGAAATAGCTAGAAATAGCTGAAAATAGAACTGAGAATAGCAGACTATAGGTACTAAGAAGAATTTCAATCTTCTTACAGTTGCCAGCGTTCTAACTAACCCTAGATAAACGAATATCCTGCAAGTTTCTCAAATATAAGTATATTCTTCTTAAGCAACATCTTCATGGTGCTGGGTTTATACAAATGAAACGAAGCATTCTATGGCCTGGAGTATGGTGACAAAAACATCTTCCTTAGCACTATAAGTAATATTCTCAAACGAAGAACGAAGGCTGATGACTGATGGACATTAGTTGTCTCGAGTCCATAATGCAGTCTATTACATACAAGCTTCGAAAAGTTCTCAAGGTAGCATAGTGTTCTTAACATTTGACATGCCTTATAACTCCCTCGTCGAGTCCACAGCCAAATGGGAACATTTATTATGATTTTTCACTGCCACTACCAGAGCGTTATTAACAATCTTGCATGAATTTATTACTGCACATGGGATTTACATAATAAACCAATCAAAATTATATAAGTGATTCGAATGGATGTAAGCGAGCTCTATCAGTCAGTATGGAAACTGTCAAGACTAAATATCTTTCATTAAAAGGTTTTCAAGGCTGCAGTCTTTACATCATTCTGTAATGTGTAAGTGTCGTCGGGGATAGTAAAATAAACAGACAGTATAAGTTATTGTCGCCATTTTGTTTCATTATTCATCCTGGCTGGACTTTCAACACCTTACACCAGTAAATTGAATTTCACAGCGTAAATCCTCAATCCAATTTTCTCGGTGAGTAGACAAACTTTTGGTCTATTGAAGTTTGTCCTATCAACTGTTACTAACGGAAATTCAAACCGCAGGGGAAGTCATATATACAGGAGATTATTACTTCAGTTTGTTAGAAAGTTGACCATAGATTATCGGAATTCAATGTACCACGTAGAGCTTTCACAACTTGCTCCATAAAGTTGAATTTAATTACATTTCGATTCTGTGCTGTAATTTCCAGTATCTAGAATCAATCGATTCTAAAGGAGCTATTTGTATCATATTCTTTTAATCCTTGTGAAATCGATTTTGATACAAGGCATGCACTGTGAGAGTAGCATTATTATATTTTCACACCTGGAAGTTTGGTGTAAATAGTTGGTAGTTAATGTGGAGTTTGTATCAATATAATTGAAACAACATTTGATGACGTTTTATATGTTCAGAGCTGGCTGCTGTTGATGGTGGTGCTTAATTTGTTGGGAAATCATCACTGTTATAGATGATGGAGGATAATGTCGGCTATTACAAAAGGTGATGACGGTCATCAACTTTGCCTTTGAACCATAACATAGAGCACTGGACAATATACAAGGGTCTTTGAAGTGTTGTATCGAAGTTGAACCTTCATTCGTTCCTATCATCAACATTTCATTGAACAGTAAGATTCCACGAAAATGCACAAATACAGAACTGATATATATTACCATTTATGTCCAAGGATGCACCGATTTCATGTAATTATATTTACAAGTCCGTTTCAATAAATTTGAAATTGATCGACATATTTGATATTAATGTATTTGACGTAAAGTATGCTACATAGACTTGTAAATAATAAGTAAATCATACGGTTACTTATTATAATATAAAGCTGCTTATTTAAAACTGCTTGTCGAACATGACACTTGTCATAGTCTATGTATCACGCTTTTCGTTTTTCCGCCTCTAATTCTGTAAATACTTAGTTTGTAATAAGCAGAAATGCAACGTTCTTTTCCAGTTTGACGCAATATTTCTTTCGAGAAGTGACCTGTAGGATATACATGACGAAACCAGAAACCCTGTTCCGCACACTTTGAAGCGGTCTGAAACCGTTCAGGTTTCCTCCACAATCAGAAATTGAAAAACTCCATTTTATGTCATTCAAGTCATTTATTCCATTATATTTCTAATCAGAAAGAAAATATCTAGAAGTGCAATTTGTGCATAAATCATATTAATGTTAAGGAAAATCTGACAAACAACAATACGTTATTCGATATAACAAAATGTAATCAGACATTTCAAATGTATATTTAACAGTCGTGATAAATAATAACACCTACGGTAGTATTCTTAGAGAAATTTAATTATTGAAACGCCATTAACAGATAAATATACGCCAAACATGTTCGCTATTACAACAGTCAATAATGGTATTTCATAAATATTCAACAACATAATCATCGTTGTGTTATTGTCGACCTTGATCAAAGAGAAATGATTTTGTGACGAGGCCCAACTCACGACTTAAGACGAACAATCGTTCGCTTTTAAATGACCTATTGTTTATCACGGTGGTTTGCATGCTGTTTGTGTATGCGTCTCCAATTCGTATTTTGAATGAAAAAGGAAGTCCCCGGACAGTGAAACTACGATTCAATACCAGGCAAGATTTCTTGTAGTATGGAGCACACATTGCTGCAAGTAATTCTCAAATAAAGACTTCTAAAAAATTATAAATTATTTGTAGTCATACAAGATATGATATATATTATTGTCGCTGGATTTTTTCATAGCCTGTATCACATCAATTGTCCTAAAAGAAAAGTGCAAAATGTCTTGACAAATGTTCTTATACTGTTGAAAGCATACGATTAATAAAACAAATTGCGAACCTGTCCCTTTAAAAAAGAAAAACAATAATTAGTACATGTTCACGTCTGAAATGTGTGCATGAAATATTTTTATTCTTGACACCAAGTGACATTTCAGTTGAATTCTTCTGAGGTGTTTTTGACAGTTTGTTTCCAATGAAATCTTATTCTAAATGTTAAATACGTGAATATTTTTTTGTTAATTGGTGTTTGGAATTATAGATGACGCATTCACTGAGCGAAATGCTGTATTTGTTATATATTAAGCTGGTACCGTACCGTCTCTATGATGTCAACTGTTCTGCTTATTGATGACAATGATGGACGATGACTATAAAATTTCGGTCTTATCAACTTAATTTTGAGCTTGGCTTATAATATAAGTCTAGTTTACATAGCGTCAATTACTACTTAATCTACCACAAAACAAAGTTAACTACCCATAATTATATCTTGAATAGTACCTCGGATATGCATACAATATGCTGATTATCTTATTTTTGTTGAACTAGTGTTGTTTATGACAGCGGTTTATGATCTTTCATGGATTTTTGTAATGTTATATGGAGTTTGGTTATTTTTACCATCAATGACGACTGACTTTTGATAATGTTATATCGATCGATATTAACTCTATTTTTTACATTTCTTATGGTGAGATCATTGGCTAGTTACTAGGAACAATGATATGCGTAGTTTCTTTTCCAATCAGCAAGGTCTCTTGACCTCAAAGTCGTTTTACGTAAGATTATTTCATGTCATGTAGTATCTGTAGTTCCAACAAAAAACAATATCAGAATTTGACATTACGTTACAAGAAGTTTCAAATTGGAGATGTGCGACCAAAAAAAAAAAGACAACATAAGACCCTTTAATATCCAGCCCGATTGTATACCTAAAGTCTTCACGATTTTCTGGAGAAAAAAAATTGGAAAGTATTTCATTACATTCAATAATTAGAAAAGGGATTTATTGCACAGTAATCAAACAAAGAAAGTCAAGAATACATGTGGTTAATATCAATTGACAAGTGCAATATTGGGTAAGATTTCTGTAGAAACTCATTACGATAATTGAAGAAATCCATTTGGTATTTCTTTCTGAGAATAGAACATTGACTAGAGGATATACTCGGTTCTTTTTATTACATTAGAAAAATCGGAGTGAGAGTCTCTTACAAAAGATATACTTAAAACATATTTTTCATCGCCTCAATCTCCGTGTCCTAAATGATATTCTCCCATACTGATATGACATCTACTTACGACGGCCTAGAAATTAAATTATTTACATAATTTTCTCGAGCTATATAAATGTATATTGATATTTGTGTATTCAGTATCGTTGTTACGGCTAAGGGGGAGGGCATGGCCACCCAGAAAAGATGCTGGCTCGGCTATGGACCCCCACTTTTTTATCATTTTATATAGTGATCCCCCTGGAAAATTTGGTGGCCCCTAATCGGCCCCTCATCGAATGTTTCCTAGAAACACCAGTAGCAGCATGTCTGTGAAATAATACAATTTTGATATGTTCTGATCAGATCTAAATTTTATTATGTTGTTGCCAAACACTTTAGATTTTATTCAGATATACTAATATCTTACCACTTAATATCAATGTATTTCGACGGCTATATCCCTTTAATGGCAGGCAAAAGTAGGTTTTGAGGGAAAGATCTGACATTTACCAGTTACAATGGAGACTAATAGTCGTGTTATTAATGTTGGATCCAAAATTAGTAGGGTTGTACAATAGCTTTTAATTTAAAGATCCGTTTTATTTTTATTGTATGAATCAAATCAATGGTGAAATAAAAAAAAAACAACGAAACCAAAAGTTTACTCCAATTTTTTTATTTGCGGATATTGACTTTCTGGAACATGATCTACTATTAAATCCCTATTGGATTATTTTCGCTACTTCATCTGCAAGTTTCAGTAATGGTAGAGTTCATGAACATCGGAGATCAGCGAAAACAGATAATATTTTTTCTAGTTTTTCCAGCAGAAATAAAACAGTTCGTAAATTGGTACTAAAAGGAACATGACCGTCTAAATATTTCAGATTTCTCAGTCTCTAATACAGATTCAGATGTTCGGTTCTCAGAAATTCACAAGAAACGTGCTATGACAGTTTAGACTGATAACGTCTAATGGGCAATTTCCTTAATTAATTACATTCAGGAAGTACAGACAGTCGTAACTTTCGTGTTACTTCTGTTTGAATTCCAGTAGACATATACATCGGAATGTGATTCTGTAAAGTGATAAAGATAGCTCAAATAGATCCCAATCATATACTAATGACGTGTTTAATACATTTCTTCGTTTTAATTTCTCCAGAATAAACAATTGGAATTTTTTCAGTGTGTTTTACAAACTAATTATACGGTGGATATTACGGTTGTGAAAAAATAACATCTAAAAACAAAACAATTGCTGCCTTCGAGACAATCATTTTTGAAAATACTCGATGTTTTAATATTTTTGGTGTTTGAATTTTATCATTTACACTTGTGCCATTTCTGCCATGTCGAATATCCTTAACATATCACCGGATATAGCTATAGTGTTCGTCGTAACACCTTCCTCTTGTTGTCTGGGCTTAAAATGAGTATTAGCATGAAGTAGATTAGGTGATTTCTGTCCACTCACAAGGCCGATACAGCTTTTACACTTATTACTTTGTTTCATGTCAACAAATGTTTTATCTAGTCCCGATTCGTGATCAAACGATCTTATAGCTCGCATACCTTTCATTTGCATATCATATATTTTAGGGGGTGTATGTATGGAAGCCTTATGAACTATCACAGAAACTAACTGAACGTTTAAGGGGTCTTTCACATTTTCAAAACTTTGATAATTATCAGGCAATTTCGCCGTCGTTGGTTTCAGGAGTTTTTCTTTCTCCGCGTCGGGAAGATATGCTGGGTTATCTAAGCCCGATGACGCCACTTCCGAAAACTCTCCAACAGAATTGTACACATGTGGCACATGGCCACAACTCTTAGACATTCGTTTACTTTTAAGATATTCCTCTCGTGTGATATCTGACGTAGATTCAATATCCGTGGAAACATTCTCAGCAGGGCGGATATTAGGAAGCGAAGACGTCTTTAGCCATATCTCTTCCCATTCCATTAATTTTTGTTTCACAGATTCTTTAATAGTCATGTCTGGAACAGGGGATTTATGCCTTGTCTTCCACGGACTCGTTAATTCAGGGGTGGCCAACATGGCGGGTGTACTAATACTTAAAGCTTTGAACAGAGTTTTGTTCATCGAGCTAGACCTAAGAAGTGGATGAGGTTTTTGTAAAGGCACTTCGATACCTCGGAAATAATTCTTTCTAAACTGTTCAATGATCATTTTGTAAAGTTGATCGCGTCCTATTTTCTTGGAATTTTTATCCGGCACTATGTTGACATATTTATCCATTATTTCACAATATAATACAGCAGCCACAATAATAACAAATAATCCTATACCCATTAACATAGGTCCAATATACGACATTACTTTTAATGTGTAATAAGTCGTTTCATCCTGCATGGAAACGATTTCAGTAGTATTCTGCATCAATGTCGGATCCGTGGATATTTGTGCCTTATAACCTAGAACACTCATCATACACCCACTGGCCATAACAAATATGCCTAATAAAATTGCTCCCAATGTCGGTAATAAACAGGGCATACGAATTATTTCTATACAATTTAAACGCCTTCTGGCCACTCGTCGACGTCGACGCTCGGTATGTTCTCGTAAACCGACGAGACGCACTCGGGCATGAGGCACAAACATATCCCTTTATCTTGGTAGGTGAAAACCACCAGGATATGTTACTGAATATAACACCGGAAGTGCGTTCCACTCTCGTTATCGGCGATTGAGACATTGGAATACTCTCGTGACTTCGTGGTTATTTTAACAAACAATTCACTTGTTTTAGAACTGAGAATAAAATCACACTGGCATCACCAAACTTTACAATACATAATCACGTTTCGTTTAATCAACATGAAAGATTTTAAGACCAAGTCAAATATTGACTGTATTTTGTAACTTCTTCTGAGCGTTTTCTTTCAATTATCCAATATTTCGTCTTGTATATTGTTCCAATGACGGATTGAGATCAAATAAAGACACTATTGGGATTGATGTATTGGCATAACGTATTGCAGTGTCTAGTAATCCTTGTCTTTATATCAAAATCCGTCATGCGCTAAGCTGTCATGTTCTAGTAACGAAATCCGTCATTCGCTAATCTATCATGTAACAAACCGTCAGCTATGAACCCGTAAAGATATTTTGACTATGATATACCACATATTCAGAGAAAGATCACATCGGTTTCTAGATCCTTATTATCCGAAAATATTCCACAATCCGATACGGCACATCACGATAGTTAATAATTCTGAAAATATGATACATTCCTAGCAAAGTGTGACAATATGCAGTGAGTACATAGAAACGCAGAATTCGTGGATTGATTGATTGATGCAAAATAGCATTCGATTACACGTTGTACTCTTTCACAATATACGACTACTCGTGAACCGAATCTCACCTGGTATATTTAGAAAAGATCACCATTTCGAGCACTATAATCTTACGTATCTCTCCAATTACACGAGATGAATTGCCCATCAGTTGTGAAAATTTATTCCATGGCTAGTATCTAGATTGAAAATATCCTATTTCACACAGAAATTGGTCTTGTTGGGAGAAGGCTTGCTTCAATCTTCGTCAATGATAACAGAATACGTACGATATCAGCACTAGTAGAACTTCAATTACTTCAGTATAATAGAATATTGTTGCTCAAGTCCATTCTACTACCTTTTGTGGTTCTGAAAGTAACGAATAGAATAATGTAAACATTGTTTAATTGATTCAATACATGTTTCCATTAAAATACAATATATGTATTCATATCCATATTTCTAAGTGGTGAACCAGATTCGATCGTGTTAATGGAACTAAATACTGTATGAAGCGAGTTTTATGATATGGCGTTGTTGAACACTGTACAACTGAAAGTATTTAACTGATCGAGCATTTAGGGCAAGTCAATGGCATCTATGTTGCAGTTTTCTACACCAAGAAACATAAGATTATAGTTGTAATAAGGGCTAGTTACATAGAGAAAGAAATACAAGACAAAATCATTGACGACCTATGACTTGCGCTGCACCGTAACGTTGCCTTCCTTCATTTTAAACCTAATTTTCAGTTCAAGAGAGTCTTCTTTATAACACATTACAAAATAGTCGTTTTTAAACCCATCCCTCAAAAGTAAAACCCGTCCCTCAAATGTGAGACTTGTACCTCAGAATAAATAACCTGCCTAAAGTTGGGAGGTTATTACTGGATTTCAATCTATCTGAAGAGATTTTCAGCCATGGGTTTAGAATGTTTGGATATTGATGAGATCTCTAACGGGTTCCCTTTTCTAATGAATTTTTTTTTATAGTGGCTTTTTATTGCAATAAAAGGATTTTGATTGTCCGATTAATATATAAAATATTTTTTAACGGAAACCTAGTAAATTCTTCTTGAAAAGAAAAGGCTGCCATAGAATATTCTGCTGTGGGGGTGTATATCCTTTCGGGCGACAGCTCCTTGTCAAAGTAATTAAAGCAATAATGTGGAGGCAAGAATAAAACTCTCTTCAAAATCATGTTTCGAAATGTTAAGTTTTCATTTCTTCATATTTTTTACCTTAAGATAATAAAGTGTTACAGGAACTGAATTAATTGGAAAAATGTTCTATTATTCAAGTAACGATCAGTATGTGAAGTGGTCTTTTCACTATTGTTCATATGAAATGAGACGAGGAGTATTATTATCATTGACGTTCTTGTCCTGTTCGCCTCCGGGATGCGAGTACTTCTTCAATGTTGCAGCTTTTCATTTAGTGCCGTTGCTCTTGGCTTGATTTTGATCAGCTAAATAATGCTGACCTGATTTCATTTCAGAGAATCAATGATTCTCGATTTTTTTATATCAAACTTGGCCTTTTCACTAAGGCTTTCTATTGTATAATAGGGTCAATAATGTCTATTTGTACAAGCAAAGGCTAGAGTTCGTAAAGATCCTTATACCATGGGCAGTGTTTGTTTGATAATTAATGTTTGTAGAAACCTAGGGGAAAAGAGCGAAAAAAATTCTGTTCCATGTTTACCTGTGATTGATTTCAATGAAAAATGTTTTAAAAGAAAATGAAATAGTATAGAGTAATAATCGATGAGTGGTTTTTGTGTCTAATGGAAGTAGACATACTAGGTATCTAAACTAAGTGATGGAAAGCCAAATTGGACTCAATAAAAATCCACAATATCCAGCGAGTTCAATAAAACTATTAACCAATATTGATTTATTAAGTTTGTTTGCAATTTTTCTATCTACTATCCCATTCTTTTCTACCAACTATTTTATTACTGACTGTTACAGTATTATATAGCAAAAATATATGGGTACAAGAGAAGAGTGCGTGATGGAACTTTGAACGATATATGCACATATTGTCGACAGCTCAATTTGTGTTTCCACCAAGCTGAGATCTAACTGATGAATTGTCTCATATTAGTCCATTCTTCTCCAGATGACGATAGATGATTAATTGAATAAGAGGTGGTAAAGCCACTGATTTAAAATTCAACTCATTGCACAATGCATGCATATATTTATACATAAAAAATAGAACATTATCCTTATTTCATTTTTATATGCAAATATAGATGCTCATTGGCCAGTCATGGCAAAATTAAAAAATATCGCATTGAATATAAATTGAAAACATCGAGAAGTAGTTGAACTTGTTGTATCTTGTACTTCCCAGAACGGTTACATACTTTTATATCAGAGATCTATAACCGGACATTGTAAATATAAACCACGTAAACTACAGTGAAAGTTAAATCTTATCTGTATAATGTTTATCATATCGTATCCGGGAAGTGGTCTGATATCGCACAAGTTCTCTCATTATCAGAATTGTTTATCAAATTGTTAAGTACATAGCGACTTCTGTTGAAACGCTATTTATTCTAAATTGTAACATAAAACATACACTAGGTATGAACTGAATCTATTTCAATCAAACAAACGCCTTCATAATGAGATTTTTGCGGCAATTATTAGTTTTACCTCTGTTGAAAATTCAAGATCTTTTGGTTGGAGAGCAACGGATTCCCAATTGAAACACTCAAAGCCATGAACAATACAAACGTATTTTAATAGACCACAATACACAGTATGAACCCCCAAAAACACGAACCATCTTTTCCATAAATAACCATTCATCTCTAGGCTTTATTCTACTATCTTCTGTTGTTAAATCCGACAAACTCTCTTATTGTTAGGTGAAATGGAATCAATTTTACTTAATAAAGATTTATTTTAGTATCTGTGATCGATTGCACAATTAACTTTCATGATTTTGCAGTGAAAATTATAATGAAGAATATGTACAAAGACTTGTGGAAGTAACTGCACTGAACTTACTTATTTAACGTTTGGGGACAATGCATAGACTCGTGGCAATGGTTAATTGATAACAAAGTCTGTCGATTAGGCCTCATAATTCGCAAACAAAAGCTTGAGATGAGACTACTAGGAACTAATAGAAATCCTGTTACACGTGAAAGGTTACTGTGTCCTCAGATGACTCCTAATTGAAGCAGTGAAGTACTGAATAGTTGAACTGAAAGGGAATGACTAGTGTGGTATTTATCAATGTATCGATTGTTGATAATGGATGTTGATGTGTTTGTTTTTGATCAATTATAATTAATAAAGCCAGATGAGACTATGAAGTATTAACAGTAAGATAAGATTAAAGTAATCATCAATGAAAGATGTCATAATGGTCTTTTTCACCAGACAAAGTGATGTTCGGGGAAATGATTTATTAATGAGAAAGAAAATGAAAGACGTAAAAATAATAACCACAGGCATCAAATAAAATGACATGAATGGAGTTCTACGTTGTACATTTCAGCACCATGTGGGCTAATGAAGACAAACAACGTCATGTGGGGTACAATTAGGGTGAAATGAAGCATTACCTTGCTCCTTTTCGATGTCGAGGGATCTAAAACTTGCACAGCCTGTAGCACACGGGGCCTCAGAAAGCAAATCGATAGGTTCCTAAATTCTGGCTATGTCCATAGGCATAACTCTTTCATCGAGAAAACAGGGGGAAACGTTGCGTTGTTTTTTAAGAAAAGAAAGCAACTTAGTTGGCATCAGTTTCCTTTCGAGAAAACAGTAGAAAATAATGATCTTAATTTCTAAAATATATGTCTAGCACAGAAAGTAATCACTGTTCCTAAGAGAAAATAAGAGAAAAAATGCTTAATTTTTTTTGTATCCATGCTTCTGAGCACAGCAAGAATCTAATTTTTAATCTCTGTTCTTGAGCATTAATTATAGAATTCAACTCTCTGTGTAGACTCTTGCTGTTTGGTGTGATTTTTTTTCTCATTAAAGCTGTTGTGAAGTCATAAAATTTCTTACACTTTCCTTTTCTTTTTAGATTATGCGAATAAAAACTACTCTAAATGCACAGAACACTGACATTTATAAGATGAATAGAAACCCGGCTTAATGACCCTGAATGCTTGGACGTACAGTTCACCTAATTCAATTATGTCATAAAAGTCAGGTACATTAGTTGGTTCTCTTGAACTGTGGCACAGTCAGTTTTAATGATAAAACCTTGACGTCACTTGGTTGATTACGTTTGCTAATCTCGGTTGGTGTCTGAAAGTTATTTTGTCTCATAATTCAGGCCT